TTTCAATGTACGAAAACAAAGCGAATGATTATATGAAAACTACACTCGGAATTTGATATTTTGACCTGTTTAAAATGCCTCGAGTATCCACTTTCCAATCGATAAAGGTGTATTTTAGAGAGTAATAAGACTAACTTTTACAACACAAAAATTGTTTTATATGAAAAAATATATTTGTATAAAAATACCAACAATTTCATAGCTTCGTTCAGCTCAAAATTTAAAATAATAAATTTGAATTTACATTTTCTCAATATAAATATAATTTAATATAGTTTTATTTAGCTTGAGCATAAGTATTCTATAGTGATAATATATTAAAAATCAAAAAATGTATTTCGTTTCTTTTATAAAATAAACCTGAGCACGAATTACCATACTTGTAGAACTTTTAAGTTTAATCGATGACTGAATTGGAGTATCTTTGAATATTTTATAAGTCACGTAACTTAAATCCCATAAAATCGAGTGAAGTGGTGTTACCAAGAGGGCGTATTTTTTCAGTCATTCTTTGCCAACATTATCATTTTCTTTGGAAAAATTACACAAGAAAAACCTTTTTAAATATCGAGATAATACTGCCGTGGAAAATTTCTCTAAAAAAATTCACAAAACAAATTATTCAAACTTTAAATAGTTTATGTTTAAAACACTTAAGGCTTTTACTTAAAAAAAATATTAAAAAATATTACAGTTACAGACGAAATATTATCAAACGAAAATATAATATATATATATATATATAATATTAATGTAATATTTTTAATAAAAACGGTATTCAAGTTCATTTCTAAGAAAATATTTTATATCAAAAGAAGTTCAAGAAATAAATAAAAAGATGAAATTAAAAATGTTTACCGAAAGAAAAATCTGATTTTTGAATTGTATATTTCGCTCTGTAAAATATTGAAGAGTATACATATATATTACAGTATTATATTATGTACTACCTAGAGCTATAGGATAATACCACATAATGAAGTGTGGCTTATAAGTTATAACTATATAACCGATTAATAAAATGAATAGGTTTTAATTTCTTTATCAATAGTTACAAAATTATATACTTGTTTTTAATTATAGTATTTTAACAATTACATGCAAAAGTTAGTCATTAATACAATTTATTAGTTATTTAGACCTTTAAATTTAAATATTATTTTTATTTTTTCACCTATATTAGAATTAATTTAATTTTAACCCACTGAACTGTATGTATTATAATACAAGTGGAAATTGCATTTTTTGGCATAATTTTTGATTTTTACTCTGTAAAGTTTCGTCTAACTTTCAGAGCATCATGGTGTGCACAAAATGATTATTATGATTATTCAGCATCACTGCAATAGTATACTAGCTTATTTGTGTTGCGTAACCCAAATAAATCAAATAAATATTTGCTATTTCTATTATATAACTTTCTCAATATAAACTATTGACACAAACGTTTTATTTACACTGTGAATCAAATTTTTACGATTCACTCCATTTGAAAGCTCCGGCTAAAATCAATAGAAAGCCACATCAAACGTTTTAATTAATCGATTTTTCGGTGTTTTCTAGCGTTTAAATATTAATATTATTGTACTCATGATCAGTTTTAAAAGTTTATTTGTTTTTCCTACAATGTATATATGCTATATATCATGTATTATAACATGCTTGGTTATTCTTTGGTCATGTGGTTTCTGAAGGATATTGGAATTATTTTCGGGAGGAGTAATTATAGTCGATTAAAATATCGATTTGATTTATGGCCGAATTTTTATCGGAAATTTACTTGATCAATTTTGGAAAACTGATTGAAGAGCCAACGTTTGGGGATGGAGACCGAAGAAAAAATTGGTTTGATGAAATTCATGGTGACACAAGGGTAAGCTGATATGTGTAAACGTGGGAGACCGGACCGTGTAAAGATGTCGGCCGCAAGGATATAGAAGAAAGAGAAACTAAAGTCTTATCTATACTAAGATATTTAATTACTTCGTTTGTACATCCAAAAGAACATTCGTGTACGGGCGCCCATTGACAGTGCTGCATAGTTTATAGAATGAAACAAAGTTATCTCTTTCGATACCAGTATAAACTGAAGCGTTGTCGTTTATCAACCGCATTAGTATTTTTACTACGGTTCGCGATGTTTAAGAATACCGTTGGATGGTTTGCGCGGAATTATTTCGCATTCCGATCGGCAAACGTGAAACGACGCCTCCCGACAATGAGCTCGTCGATCACGCACGAACCACTTTATTGTTCAAACAATGTACATCGACGAGTATAATAACGGTGGAAATCAGATTTCGTCGTTGTAGTGATTGTTGTGCAGGACACTACGATCGGTACCACATTAATTATTTAACGACGTAGCACGTTCGTTGTTATATTGAGACGTAATGGTGAGAGAAATAGGTAATTTGAATAATTTAACACTTGCATTTTAACAATTATAAAAATTACTATTTTATTAATTTGCTACAAGAAAAATAACGAACAGTTTATTCTGGGTAAAGAATTACGTACTCGCGGCGATGTGGCCGAACAATGTTCACGACGAGTAATAATTTATTTATAAGGGAAAATGGCCAGTCTAATACTGTCTATCATAACTATCTATCTACTCCTGATTAATGCTAAATTCTCAACCCGTATTCATAGAAGTTCCAACGACGTAAAAGTGGCGTAATTCTAATATACTTCCTTTTACTGTCGATTTAGCATATTATGTTAAGAGGTGAAAACTTGTTTTCACCTTTGCTCTGGATTTCCTGCGAATAGACATATTTATTAATATTTATACAAAATTATATTGATTATTAAATTATGCTGAGCCTTGGGCTTACTACATCGTGAAAGGCTGATGAAAATAAAACTATTGATCCCAAACGTGCCGGCACATCGGAAGAACGCTGCGCGAAACAGAAAAAAGCGATTTCGACGATTTCGAAAGCTTTGCGGCGCGCAGCACGCGTACGATATCCGTCACGATACGTTACTCGCGGTACGCGATCACTGTTGAGCCGGTTCCACGCGACTCGTGTACATGACGAGCATCGTAATCGCGTACGTTCGCCGAACATTTTGACTTGACGATTTGACACTTGTCGATTATTAACAGTTTCTATGGCTCGTTTACCGACAACCGATGGGCATCCCTCGACGAGTAAAACCGATCACAGCACTCGACGATAAAACAACACACGACTCGTAAAGCATCACGACGATCGTTCGTCGAGCACACGATTCGTGCGGGACCGGTATTTACCGTTTGGGTAATGATAGACATTGTTTTCGCGGAGGAAATCTTCGCGGTTCCGCGGAACACGGTGCGTGTGAAGGGACTGGGGGAGGGGGATGGGAGTTGATCGCGAGTTACGAATCCTATTGATTCCGTACGGGTTCTAAGAACAAGAGCCGCCCGTGTTTTGACGTTATCGCACGACCGCAAGAACAAGACCGCATTTTTACGCGCGTGCGCACGTACACACACACACACACGCACGCACAGTTTTACATTGTAAATACGCGTATTGTACGCCGCGCACGCCGTGCATACGTGTGCATTGCGACCGGGCGGGCGCGTGTTCGTCCGTTGTGTTTTTCGAGAGCGTCCAGGTGAAAACGGTGCCGCACACCCCCGTCACCCCGCGGGCGCGCGCGCACACGCACAACTCGAGGGGGCAACACGAGCCGGAGCAGCCGCCCTGTCTCGCCTGTACACGCTTTCCGCCGAGATTTCCGCTGACGACGGCATAATACGCGGGGGGCGGTGGTGGTGAGGCAGCCGCACGCGCCACGTGCCGCCCGGAGACTATCGCACCCCGCCGCCGCCGCCGTGACATATGCGCCGAGGATACATTTATAAAAATAACGTTTTTCAGCTGCCGACGTTTATATTGTCAACTGTAATACAATATTTTCCGTCCTTTGTGTGCGGGTCGTGGATATTATTATTTTTTTTTTCGTACACGCGTGCGTGCGCAGCGGCCCCGCTCCCCCTACCGCCATCACCTTCGTCCCTTCGGGTCGCGGCGAGAAACCTCGAACGCCGTCCGCACTGCGACGACCGGGGCACGTTTTTAAATGTCGCGCGCGCTCCGTTCCGTCGTCGTCGTTATTATTATATTTTCGTTTTGGGTCTGCCACCGGCACCAGCACCGGTGGATTCGATTAAACGCGCACAATGCCTAGGCGCGTGCACGGGGGCTGCGACTCGCGCGGACGGTACGTGTGCGCAGAACGCGAGGTGCAGCAGGTCCGCCGCATTGTTTCGCTTTCACCGGACGGATTCGTCCCCTCGGTCCTGGCGCTCGCGGTACAATGCGTCTTGCGCGCGTACCCACTGCCGGCCGCCACTGTTCAATATCCGCGATCACCGGTACGCGTTCGTTTACGCGGGCAAACGGTCCGCAAACGATCGGTTTTCTATTATTTATACCGATCCCCCACCGGGCTCCCCCCCCCCCCCCGTACGACTACCGTGCGTGGGGCGCGTTTACCCCTTTTTCTTTTTTTTTTTTTTTGTTTGTCCGCTATCATTTACACGTGTACCTGACGCGCTCCGCCGGGAACCGTACCCGTACGAAGAGTGCCACCGTGCGGACGTGCAAACGAATCGACGATTAGGTTGATCGAGAGGTCCTCCTGCGCAACGCGATTGTTTACCGATCGCCTTGTGTTTGTCTTGCTCCTCCGATCCATGACTGTTGTTATCAGTGTACGCAGGCTTTAGATACGATCGACGCGTGCGACGGCACAGAACGCCGAACTCAGAAGGTCGCGTTAGAGGCGTCAAAATTAGAATTAAATTTGATCAATCTTTAGCGACGCAAATTATCTACTATAGATAGAAAAAACATTTTCACGATGTTATTCAATATAAACTTGATTATTATTATATGTTATTATTAATTTGATTATCGCCATTTATTATTCTATCTATCTAAAAAGCTGATTTTTCCTAAAATATGTACAACTATAGATTATATTTTTCGTTATTACCTTCGACAAACAACCGACACAAAACATAGAACGTTTAACGTACATCACGTTCTGATCACTAAAATGCAATAAAACAATAAAAAAAAAACATCTATGTAGCCCGTAAAAATAATTGGGGCTGTGATCCGCTCGGTGTCCCTTACCTGGATAACCTTTGGTCCTGTGCACGCACACCATACGTACTCGTACGTTGCTATGCATATGCATTATTACGGTGTGTATAAAAAACAACAGTAAATACCGGCGACAGATGATAATATACGATCGGGCTGAATAACAGAACCCGCTACGTTTTTCATCGATCGCTGTCACCTGTTGTTGAAACGACCCTGTAGTGTAACAAACGCGTCTGGCGTGCCCGGGGAATAGTACACGTACGCAATGCCAGCAATTCTGTTCGAGATCTATAACCGCGAACATTTCAATGAACACGCTTACATAAAAACAAAAAAAAAAAAATGAATAATTAGTTGCTGGTACCATACTGCGGGTCTGAGCGGGGGCGTATTTAAATGTTTTTTACGTGTAAATCTGTGAAAAATTGTAGCTTTAAATAACTAAAATAATATACCGCACTAACTGAATCATCATTTAACTACCTATTATAAAATATATATATTTATTAGGTAAGTAAAACAAATTCTATTTAAATACTAAAACATAATTGATAACAAAATCAATTCTTCAAATTTGCTGCTGTGAGGCATGTGCCTTAGTGCTCGTACATAATTACGCCACGGGGTCTGAGTGCTGAACTACTTTGTTACGTCGTAGGTAATCGTATTATATTTGTTAATTCTATTAAAAACCAATAATAAAATTATAAAATATAATGACATTAAAGAAAAAAAACGATTCTAAGCTAAGGGCGGTGAACAAAATATTTTATCTTGTACTATATTTGTAACTCAAAGGTCAAATTTATCACATTGTCATCGTTGTTGAGATAAGATAATTTAAATGTATAGATATGGTTATAATATGATTATTATCTAGGTTCGGATACTGATGTTAAATATTTTAAGTAAATAATAATGAAAAACAGTAAATCATACTTAAAAGATAAGTCAAAATGTGTGCCTTGTAATTTACTAACTTGCCTCGTATTGATTTATTGATTATAATATTAAGGATTAATAATTTTCTATGACAGTTTTCCATAGTGATTTATTTTTACTACAAGTCTCAACTGTACTGTATATAACATAATAAATGAAATAATTTGTACGTTTACAATCGTAAATCGCAATGCATAAAATGATGTACCTACATTTTTTTCATGAAAATCCGTACAAAAAATGCACTAAAAAATAATGGTCACATTGCCGTGGTGGAGATGCATGCAAATTTTTACCACACTAACTGCGGGCTTCCGAGTCTTCTAAACAAGCGTTGAAATCATTAGGTAGTCGACGTAGTGTAGGTATTACGCAGAGTTGCCATATAACGATTATGTACACGTTTTGTAAATTCCGCATACACATATAGACGATAAAGTGACCACACGTGGGTCACGTAATCCCACTGCAGTAAACACACCCGTCTGTGGTATTAATGGAACGTACCCGTGTTACTGCAGACGAAAAACTAATAAATTATAAATATTAAAACGAATTCCAAACGTTAATTACCGTGAACTCTGGCGAATCGAACTTATCCTGAAAAAAACCAAAACATTATGATCATCATTATTGTTGCTACAGAAATTATTTTTATCTTCGAATATACGAAAGTGAGTTGCGTTAGTTTGTTGTCCGCCTTGAATATTGTTTTTAGTGTAATTTTTTTTTTTTTTTTTGTACGCGACCGATTGTTAACGGTTTGTAAACCTATAACTTTCCCGAGGAAATGATATAGTATTTTTCAAGTACCAAAATACATAATTTATCATTCCAAATTAACTATAGTGAAAATATAATATCATTCAAATCGCGTGACCAGGATTTCTTTTCTGTTTTTTTTTTTTTCATCCACAGTTAAATGTTTTGTAAAATATTTAAGTGTACTTAATTGCAATAAACATATAAAAATATATTTTTTTTATGTATAAATCGTTTTTTGACTCAAATAAATTAAAGGAAAATAAAATGTGTTATAATTAATTAACCAAAATCAATGTTGGTACCGCTCATAAGCAACAAATGACCGTATACACGACTACAAAACTGCAGCATACAGAACACATCCCTCTCCCACGCATATAAATTACCTTTACAACTATTGTATTTTAATTAAATATGATTTTGACCCAATGTACAGTAGTATGTAGTATGAGTATTTCAGTAAGAGTGAGACGGAAATAGGTAAGATAACAACAGAAATAAAGAGTGAGTGTTGACTAGTAACATTAATTGGTCGATTGGATTATCCTGACTAGAATTAGTAAAGTGTTTAGAAGTAGAAAATAGAGCAATAGAGCCGGTTGGACGTGGAGGAACATGAAAGTTTACTAGAGAAAAGAGTGACGGGACATCAGTAGAATTGCCTATATGATCAAGAAAGAACCTTATGCTACTATCAGTCAGAGTTAACAGATCTAGTTCATGATGAGTAGTAGTAATAATAATAATAATAATAATAATAATGCAAATACGTGGACATAATATTATGTGGGTAATTGGAGATATTTTTGCTGAAGTTATCACGCGAATCGTGGTAAATTCTATTTGTGTTCCGTAGACCGGAGACTATTGAACTTTGTTGGGGTTAAGATTGGCTTAGAAAAAATTGTTTTTTATTTTTTTTAAACGACCGACTTTCAAGTAGGTAGTACACAATCAACGTTAAACCACTCCTGTAAATGACATAACTGACGAGGGTATCTGCAGTAGTGCCGACGGCGTCGATAAATTAATTATAAATCTGATTGTATATGCACACACATACACTAACATATTATTAACATATGCCGCCGTCGCGCCGCCACTGCTCCGAAAATAATCTATCGTCCAAATAATAACGTTACTGCGAGATGACAGCGGGTATGTGTGCGGGAGATCACGGTATATTATTTGAACTTAATTCAAAGTTATCCGAGAGGAAAATATTCAATCACCACGAAAATTGCAATTCAGACTCAAATTCGACATGGCATTTCATATCCTGATCAGTGTATGGAGCAGTATACCGACACCAAGTTTCGCGTGTGTAAGTTTGAATGTAGATGTGTAAATGTGTTTACGAGAGAAAGGAAATTAACGAGGTATTTTATATTAATTGCAGTTTTTTTTTTGTCATTTAATTGCTTCTTTTGTACTCGTATGTGATAGCTAGTTATAAAATATAATCAAATATTTAGAATCTTTTCCACATCATTCAGTTCCACAAAAATATCATGTGTAGGCTTTTTTGTAAGCTGTGCCTTTGCAGTAGGTTATTAGAGTTTGGGTATGCTTCTGTATGTTTTATTTGAACAATATGCTTGTTAATTTTATTATTTACTATTTTCCAAATTTACCGATAGCAATTTAAATTTTAAATTTCAGAATATATATGTTATGCGATGTTATGAAAGATTATCAAAATACTACATATGGGTAAAGTTAAAGAACAAGATTGTTTACGTACAGTTTATGTACATGTTTACGTACAATCATCTACGACTACTTATAGCTAATCGGGAACTTATATTATGTAAAATAGGTGACCAAAGAGATAACAAAACATATTTAAATAATTTATATGTTGTTTATTGGCTGTCAATGTTTTGAAAATATTTGATTTTTAAATGTTCTAGTTTACAAAACGTATTGGTATTTTAAACTTAATTCTTTAGTAAATTCTAATTCTAATCTAGTTTAATTATAAATCGGTAATAAAAAATAATAAAAAAGTAATAAGGTTATCCAAAACCCAAATCATGTGTAATATGAATGTTTATATTATAGACATATAGTAAGTAATTCGGTAAACCGGTTTTTATAGTATTTTTTGTATTTGTAACACCTTTAAGTATTGACTTCAGATATGGTTAGTTTTTTTTAAGAATTCTATTGCCGTGTATATTGTTTATTAATTAGGTAAACGAGTTTAAAAACAATTTGTTATATATACTGATTTATGTTTCCATAAAAAAACCCTTATAAATTACACACATTTGTACATCGTTCATAAAATAAAATATATTAACAAAAATATTAATTTATCGTCTTAAACACGACAAATCTTCTTTGATGCTTTTCTGTCAAAACAATTATTGTAATTTGAATTTTTACTGAAATTAAACTTAACAAGTTCTTAAATTATTAATTAACTTTATTTTAATTTGCATGATATTGTTACATTCAAGAATTCTCTGTACGACGAATTGCCAAACTTAAAACCGATGAATTTTCTTCACAATTACGGTACACAAATCTTTTGCTCTATTAAATCAATAACGCTAAAATGTTTGCAGGTATAATAATTGCAATCGTAAACGCATTAAAAAGGTAATAATTGCATCGTTTCAAAAAAGAACCGTAATGGTTTTCAAAGAAAAAAAATCGAATATTCCTATATTCTTTGTAAATATAACTCTTTTTTCTTAAAAAAAAAAAGAAAGAGGCTTAGGGTTATTTTTTATTAAAAAAAAAAAATCCACCGGGCTTTATCGCCGACGGCCAGTGATTTTTTCGGCGTTTTCACTTATAATTCGAATTCATATCTATACACACACGGTTTATGTGGTATGCGTTGTGGGTAAGAGATCCGCTGACGTGTGCAACGTACTTATCGAAAACGCCTAGTGCCCAATTTAAATAATGTATACATACCGCACATGTTGTGTGTACGCGTTACGATGATGTATTGGACGTTCGGGCGCGTGCGCGTGCTTACACATTTACATATATTTTATTATTATTATATACGGACGTCGGACGTGAAAAATCGGGTCGAATCGCCCTAAATATTACAGTGTTTGACACGGTAATGACTACCTTTGACATGTACTCGCGCGCGCTCACGTGTGGGGCCATCTGCCGCGAATGAAAATTTAATAGATAACGTGCGCTGTCGTTTATTGAAATACGTAAGAAGAAAAAAAACACGTAAAAAAATTACCGCAACAACTGCGCGAGCACATAAAACACTATTATTTATTTTTCGTCGCCCGGCCGTATCGCGGCGCGACCACTCCGGAGGTGGAGAAATAAGTAATAATAACAATAGGTGTGTGTGTGTATATAATAACGGTACAAAGGCGGACGAAGAAAAATAGGTGTTTAAATGTCGCGCACCGCAACCAGGTGCCGACATCATCCCCCACCCCCGAGGGCGCAGCGGTGTTGCAGCGATTTAACAAGAAGCGTTACAGCAACAACAACAATAATAATAACGTAATAACGATTAACTCTTTTCCTCTCTCTCTCTCGCTCTCCGATCCGTTTAGATACCCTTCCGACGTGTATATAATAATTCGACGTTAGGTATCGGTGACGACGTGTCAAATGTGGGCCGGACGCGTTACACACCCGTACCGTAATAACGTATTGGTTACGTTATAGTATTATTATTATTATTATACGTTACCGCTCGATGTATTTTTACGTAGGTACACACATGTACCGTGTAAACGGTGTTGAAGAACGAGTATT